ATTAAATGGTTTTCTCTTGTGATAAATATGTATGTTCCTTGCAATTGTATTGAATAGATGGGAGTGAAGTCTAAATTATATTTATTTACTAAATGAAAATTGTTTATAACAATGCATGTACGGGAGTTTTTAAAATAAACTAAATATGTAAGACGTTTTAATTTTTGTTGAATTAATTTCAAGATAACGTTTTTCACAACACGCAATTCGGTGGTTTCCATGTAGTCAAATGCCATACTTTTATTTGATTGTCTAAAACGATACTTTTCTATGAATTTTATATGAGCTGGCAACATATTACGTCATAACATATTTACGTCAAACAGTATACTTGTTTTAAAAAGTTAGCTAGAAAAATCTAAAAAATCTAATCTAATGTAACCTAATCTATCTAATCTTATATGATTTAAGCAAGCAAATAAAAACAAAATAAAATTGTGAAAATCCTTTATAAATATCTACCTATTCTTTGAGAGGATGTTTTGAAATTTGACTTTAAGAACGCTATAAAATATAAAACTACGATACTACATTTTCCTTACAAAGTTGAATAAAATCTAAGCTGCTCGATGTTTGCGCGATGCCTTTATTCAAATCTGTTTGGATCGGCTCCACACAATGCATAGTTTACTGCATCAGGCATTTCTTCAGCTCTCTCTAAACCTTTATTTTTAGAAATATGGTAAACCTGAACGGTATTTTATTACCTTTTTGATATAGGTTTTATTTGATGTATAATCCTTATTTAAAGTTAATAAATTAGCTTCCTTTTGGCTTCGGTTTGTGTGTTCTCATCGGAGAAAGCTGAAGGTCTTTTTCCCTTTACACAATATTCAAATAGGTGAACTGAGTAATTAAATAATTTCGTTTATTCACAAAACTGCCACTTCTTGAAATGTAAAAAGTCCTTAGTACCTATTTATAGATTACTAGCACTCTACTTTAAAGATTTTTTCAAATCGGTCAAGTAGTTTTAGAGCCTAATCAATTCAAACAACCCAACAATCAAATCTTTCTTCTTTATTATATTGGTATAGATAGCGTAGATTTTAGATGATTTATAGGCCCTATACATCATTTATAGGGTATTCTATACTATAGGGGATATATTCCTCGACATTTTCTACACAGACTCGCAATATACTCTACTAGCACACCCTCTCCCCTAACACACATCAGGTATTCTCCTAAACCTATCAAAATCATTGTACAACGTGCATCTTCACCCCTCTAGCTCAGTCTCACACTCCATTACAGCCAAAAGTCGAGACATAACTTCGAAACCCAAATTCGCCAATACCCTTGAGATCCTTTGTAGCAAACTACCGCTGGAAATATAATTTAAACTTGACCAGTTAAGGAAATATTTGGTGCAGTGTTTGTTGGTTAACATTGTGTTGAGGTTGAACCATTGAGTTTGAACTTTAGACCGATAGAATACGATCAGGAACTATTGGTGGCTCGCAAACCAAACTATCTAAGTAATCGAACGATTATCTTGCTTGGAAGTAGGAATATGTTTGTGGAAATATCTTGTTGATAATAATTCGGTTATTTTTTATTACACGTAACAAAACAAAAAAACATTCATTTTATAAGAACAAAAATGCTTTAAAACATCCAATACATCAATTGGACAGAAAGATAAACAAAATGAAAGCGTTTGATGAAAAACGAATCGGCTCTCAAGATGTAGCCCACACTGAGAACATTGGGGAAACAATCAATTTCGTTTTGTTTCCCCATTCATCAAACCACCGGACTATGATCACACAAACAATAGATCAGTATTAAACCAGACAGACGGACATACGGACATTGTTCCCGCCACCCACAAAATTTCGATACATCGATTTTACAATCGGAAACCAATTCCAATAGAATTAGGCTTGATTTTGTAAAGCAAGTATTATAAGTTCGTGCATAGCAAATCCGAAATTGCAAGTTTGTCGAAGAAAAAACTTAGGTAATAATTTTAGCTGACATTCTTTAAAATAAATCTTATATTTTCTGTAGATCTGACTGACAAGAAAGCTTGGAGGGCCCAACTAAAACTTAAAGCTATGAGACAAACATAGATTAGCTCATTAGACAACATTTAATTAAATGTAGTATTCCCAAATTCCCGAACCCCTTACATTAGTAACTGCTCTGGAGTTGTGAGAAACTAGGGGCGAAGCCGATTGCTTACATTAAGAGATCAGTCTGCTCGTTTATCGATATGCCTCGTAAAAAGTGAGGAAAGAAAAACAAAAATACATCGATATACCAAAACAAAATCAGACTTACATTTTATCAAGGTTCAACAAAAATATGATCATCGAAACAAAAGCTTCTATATCATTTGGCACAGACAGAATCGTTTCTGAAAAGGAAATCGATATCGTCACCAGAATCCATGTTGAATTGCCATCGTTCGCTGTCCATTGGCGTGCGCGCTAACTTATGTGCCAATTTCGCCGGCACTATGTCACCAATGGACCTCGTCCACAGAATATATTGCTCGTAAATTTGTTGCATGATTCAACTTTCTTGTTATATTTTATAAAATTTCTACATCAAGGATTTTTTCAAATATGGTTTCAAGGAATTCAACATTACTCATATTGTTATTTGCTAAAAATAAATAAAATAATAGCTACAAAATATGAGTGTAGTTGAAAGCCTTGTAAATATATTCACAAACAAAAGAGGAAAGCCATTTATCATTTGCATGTAGACCGCACTAGTGCTGAACACAATAAAAGCAGTAAATTGTAACAAACCACGTTTTGTACTGGACCACTTAGTTTACTACAAATTACAAACTTCCTTTAACTGTATAAGAAGCCTAAATAAATAACCTTATTTCCAGAATGCTAAGGGTTTTGACGACATAAGCCCCTCATCAAATTCCCTATGTCATCACTCTCAAAATCTGTCACTAAGCTACCGGAAAACCATAAACAACATATTCGGCTCATTTTTTACCATCGGGGTGGGCTGCCCCATTACCCGGGTCAGGTTCATTACACCCCTGTATCCGATGACCAGTTAATCAGCTCGGACATGGGTTGTGTATGCCATAAGGTCTCTGGGTAACGTTCAGTGTTTTTTTTGTGAAGAATTAAAATTTAACGTTTAAATAGTATTAGAAATTGTTTCAACACAATCTTGAACTGCCATTATCGATCTAAAGTATAATTTACAGATGAAAACAAAAAACATTACTCAAATCACATTGTGGAAATGATAACAAAAGAGAACAGATACTCATCTACGGCACAGTTAGAAGATCATCAATAACACTCCACGCAAATCCGAAGAATTTCTCAGTAATAATCCTGGAGTATGGGAAATAAAAAGGTGATACATCAACTATATGAGAAGGGAGCGAATAGCAACAGGCGGAAATTGGTTCAGCTTGATGAATGATATTGACGACGTGATGTGGCGCTATACTACTCTTGAGAGTCAAGCTCTGATCAAATAATGGATATTTTGAGTGAAGGTGACAAGCCGAAAGTGTTTAACAACGTATCGAATGAATTTTATACAAACGAACAAGATAAAACGAAAAGTTTAACATAGTAAAACAATTAACAATAAGAATAAAACTACAGAAGGGGAACTAAGACAAAATAAGTAATAGTTAGATTAGTGTAAGCCAAGTACAAGTCCGACTTTGAGTTCGTCGGACCCAAAACTTTGGTCCTAGAGACGTTGCTAATTACTGAGAGAGATGGGAACGGCCAATAAAACGATACCGACAGAGCTATTGTGAGATTACGACTGAACTTAACCTGGCCATTAAACTCCTCAACGCAGTAACGTTTGAAGAACGGACATCTTTTCTGTGATAAAATAGGAACAGATTACGTCAATAACAACTCATCAAAATGTTGCCATTATTTTCCCATGTCCAGAAAAAAAGGGAACTCCCATAAACAAAATTTTCTCGCAACCAAAACAAGATCTATCCTCACTTGCCAACTATACTATTAAATAAGCGTGTAACCTGACAAATCACAGCCGTGTCAGTGCTGGGGTATGGGGACAGGCTGATTGATGTCCACGACCCTCGTCGTATCCCCACCCCCTCTGTCTCCCGAGCATAAAGAAAACTAATCTTGAAAACGTTTTGGTACATGATTGGGTAATTTTTTTCTCTGACCGCCTTTCTACATGTCTGGCTTGAAATAAATAAAGTGCTTGTGAATTTTTATGAGGTTACTACGATGTGCGTCAGATGATTCAAGGTTTGTTTTTCTTTTAAGCATAAGTAATGTCTTTCTGTTAGCTGGTGTTTCTGCGAAATTTAGATAGTTTACATACGGTTCTCTGATTTCAGTATCTAAAAACACATCTTTTGAAAAAATTCAGTCCGAACTTGGAACGTAATACAGTGAAACTTGGTTAAGTGGGACCTGGATAAGTGAGAAACCTCCATAACTGGAACTCATGCTGAGGTCCCAACAATTTGGCACTGAATTACCTCTGTTAGTGGGACGAGGCAAACCTGTATATCTGGGATTTGTTCTTTTGATTTATCATCATAGTTACCTCTATAACTGAGACAGCGAGTAAATTTTATATGCATAAACCTCTGTAACTGAGATAACATTGTTTGTTTACTCATTCTTATTCTACCTACAAATTCCACACGTAATTCCAAGTACGTAAGTACAAATTTAGAGCTTCAATCACCTTCAGTTTTGGTTTCGCTTTACTATGATACAGATGTTTATTTGAAAAATGCCAAAACGAAAGCTACAATCGTTATCATTACGTGAAAAACTGAAGTTAATATCCGTTTATGAAAGTGATTGCCTTTAATATATATTTTATACGATTACCTTTAAGTACTATTTTTTTTTATTCAAACTTATTTACATACATAACACGTTATTTTATTTAATGTGATCATTAAATACAATAACGTGTTATGTATCACTGAATAACTGACTGTATACCTGTATAACTGAAATAACCTGTATTCTCACCTCTATTAATGGAACCTAATGGCATATATGAGAACCTGGAATGGTATATCTGAGACACTGGGTAAGTGGAATACCTCTATAAGCGAAACGACATTGCAGGTCCCTTGATGTCTCACTTAACCAGGTTTCACTGTATCAGTACTTACTCAATAGTCAATATATCTTAAACCACAGCACAAAACAAATAAAATAAACTCAACTCTGACGTGAACAAGAGTATATCGTCCAAATGAACCACAAGAACAATAATTCACAATCGTACTTGAGGGGGTTTTGGAAAAAATGGTCCAAAGTAAGATCCCCGGGCCACGCCGACGCAAGACGGAGGCCAAACAAATCGTTTGTGTTGCTCTAAGAAATTGAGGAAGTCATGAGCTATTGTAACGACGCCGATTTAATGGCGCCGTGAGGTGGAGCATCGACAAACGATTCTGGAATATTCTCGACTCGTGAAAAATTAGACCCTAATATTGGATTGTGTCGAAACAGTTCTTTAGCAAATTGATGTTGAACAAATTTATCTTTTTTACTTTGGACGTTGAATTTTTTTTATCATAGACATAAGGCAATAGTCTACACAATATTTTATGTTTTAACGGTGACAAATCCATCACCATGGCACTGGATAATAAGAAGAAATTAGGCAATCAACACAATTCACTATTCAGCTAAAGATAATTCTAATCCTAAACAGGTTCATTGACAAACACACAGCACACATTCCAGATTATATTATTACAGAGAGCTCATCCACATGTATATCCTACCTATGTACAGCACACCGAAACAGTTCATCAATACATTTATACCAAACTCGGCTAGAGAATAACATTAAATCAGGAGATTATGGCGCTCTCAGACGGCAAACAGAAGCATCAATACAATCTGATCGGCAGTAATCCGTTCAGGGAGGATATCATATGAATATAATTCACGCTCGATCGACTCAGACGCGATGTTTTCTTACATCCAACCATTTGTGTGTCGCACACACAGACTCAATTATTGACAACTCCAGCTTTAGATTATTCTTTTGTAAGAAAGAATTCTGTGACGTTAGGCTTAGAGTTTTGTTATACTTTTTTCCCACAAAAGAACTTATTGTATCTAGTTTTTCGTTTCTATTCTATGCTCATATAAGTTTTATTCATGCTAGACTGATTCAAGATCATAAATATATCAGTTAGATCTTTTTAGAGCATACATTGTAAAAAGATAAAGTAAACTTTACTACGTTAGAGAAAAACTTTACAATACACCTGCCATTTCGTAAGACTTGCCATTTATCAGAAATAGCGATTGAAGGTATGTTAAAGTCGAAAACCATAAAAAAATCTAACCATTCATTGGTTAGATTTTTTCCAATGTTCACCACAAGTTAATTGACAAAATGAATTACAACGCATTATCTGCTGTAATAATTATCACAATAATCGAAGACAGTACCAGCATCCGTCGACACTTTATTAATTCTTTAATTATTCCTTGGCGCCAGTGTGTCAGATAATGTCTCCGTACTGAGGGTACGTGTGAAATAGTCCGGAATGGAAATAAGTACGGTAAGCGGTTCACGAGTGATTTGCTCCCGCAGACGCCGCTAACGGCACGCCGCTCTTATTAGCTGGGGATTTTGACTTCTTTATTTTGACGAGTTTTTCGTGTTTCTGCAGTTTGTCGACCTCCCTTGATTCGTCTCCCAATGGTTTTCCGATGCAAATTACTTTAACATAGTTTTCCCTTATAATGTGAGAAGATTTTCACTTAACTTTCTTCTTGGCTCTTTAAGAAGTCTCTTTTGGACCTTTTTCTATATTTTTTAATTCAATTTGTCTTAGAATGCTTCATTTATTTGAGAGGTCTAAAATAATTTTAGGATTCTGTTTTCTTCCCCTTGAGGGATTTTATTTTCAATCCTGGTCGAAACTGTTAACTGGCAATAATATCGATTGCGATGAATGATTGTGTTAGTTTAGCATCAAACTCTGTGTTGTTATTTGCAACACACGTCAGGTGTCGCGGGATAAAGTTGACAGACATGTGCAATGTTTGTATATTCATCTGATTTCATACTAAAGAAACAAGTAGATATAATACATCTCTGTTTATCCCACAAAGGAAAACAGTCGTGCCAAAAAATGTTTCATATTATGTATTAACAAAAAAAAAACTACCAAATCTCCGTACTTAAGTGTTTTTCCCTCCACTTTGTTATGAGATATGAAAGCCATAATTCCAGCGAGTCATCATGATATCTTTTGCGACCAATCCTTTCGAAAAAAATCTATTTTCTACACATTGAACAAGCAGCGGGCGGAGTCAGCGATAAAACCTATGATACGTACGTACCTACACTCGTGTATGGGTGTATGTATACGTACGTCCTCGTACAGTTACACGAAGAATGCGAACAGTGGCTGAATAGTTGACGATGTGGCGTGTTCGCGCAATGACACAGCGGAACACGGGAAATGGTCCACGCTTGACGCAAAACTATTCGCTCAGCGATTTCACGCACCCTTACGAAGTTGTGCTTGAAGGCTTTTAAAAAGTATTTAATCACAAAATTCTTTTTCTAAAATGTTCCTATAAGAAACAACTAAAAGTGAACAAACTCAACCGACTCCATCAGTTAAACTAATAACTAGCCACTATACGAGTCGCTTAGCTGAATCAAAGTATTCCCAGTGGGTATTCACATCGCTTGCAACGATCTATCTTTTTGCCCTCACGAGACTCGGTACAGTACTTTAAACAAGAACGCCATTAGCGCGTGCCTTGGACCGCACCATAAGTGGGAAATAGCTGGGAAGTGGATGGAAATAAGAGCTAAACGCCAAGAAGACAGATTTGTTTTATTCACAATTCGTAGCTAGAGACGAGGTTAGACTATCTGTGCTAGAAATTGCGGCTACATTTTATATTTTTACATCTCAGTTTGCCGTTCAGTTTCAAGATATTTGATTTTATGTGGACTTGTGCTGCGGATTTAGATTTTCATGGAATTTTTAATAAATTCTCGTAAGTTTGCTTGGAAAATGTTTCAGCTTTATTTTTGTTTATTGAAAGAACTAAGGTTCCTTGAAGCTATTGGAATAACTCTTTTAAAGGAAACTATGTTTAATATTAAAGTTGTACGTCGGGTGCTTTGGTCGTGTAGGAATACTATCTGTTTAACAAGTGGCGTGTTACTGTAGGCCACATCGGAACTAACATGAGCTGGAGCTAATAGGTATCCGCACGGAGAGCTGAACAAACATAAAGTTGGCCGGTTATTGCGGATATCCTTATTCGGATTTATACCCAAGGTCTGCGTTATTATAATCTATAGTGCTTACAGGATTAGCGACTTCACTAACGTACAATAATGTTCTATAATAAGTGGTTTTCTGTAGATCGTGTAATTGATAGCGAAGAACATTCCAGAAACAGAATAAAATTATCGAACCTTATAAAATGTGTATCATGAATGTTTATGGTCCCCGGTTATTATCTTGCTCAGCGGTTTCAATGAGCATCGAATCTTTTAAATCCGAAACTTTACGATCTTCCACCGCATCCGGGAGCGAAGCAAAACTTCTATCAGGTTGTGCAAATTATTTATAGGGTGGGAACACCTATTATCGGCCGACGGACTTCGATTTTCTTGCCAAACAAATGGGCAGTTAAACTGAAAGTTTATAGTCACTATTGGGTTCGAATTTAAATTTGTTTTAATCAACGAATTTAATTTAAATTGCTTTTAAGATGTTCAATTGTGATAAGAGCGTTTTATTATTGCCTTGATTAGGTGATTTATTTTGCGGTTGGAATCACGAGTGACTTTATGAAGAAACTTTTAAGTTTCTTTAAAAATATTAAAAAAAAAAATCAAATGTTACTAGACTTATAGATGTAAGACCTCAGTAAGTTTATAATAAAACCAAATATTTATTTAAATCCTGGCAAGCGTGGCCTAGTTTTTGGTGAACTGGCTCCTAAAACGCTACCGAATTGATCAGGATTTTTACGAGTGCGGTTGATTTGAACGCAAACACATGTTCTAGTCTATTTACCATGTTTATCCACTGCGGCAGGACATGTGCTTACTCGGTTTTATGCTCTCTGTTTTACGGGAAATCGTAAATGGTTTGCAGCGTGATAACTGATAATAGGTGCAGATACCTAATTTTACTGTTCAATAACAGTGATATAGCTTTTCAAATAAAAACAGCACTGTCAATAATTTAGCGCAAAATTAATTTTTATTTTAAACTTGCTCTCCATAATTTCTTTTGCACTATCCCTTTTGTGTTAGCGCCTGATATTAAACTCATAGTTAAATGTTTGCAAAGAAACTTGCTCTTGCTTTTAGTTAGGCGCTACGAAATGCTTTCTTTAGTGAACGTGAGATCGTAGACGAAACTAATTGAATGCACTACTCTTATAAGTATTTTGACGATATTAAAAAATGTAATCATAATATGATATAATTACTCAGTTCATCAGACGGATTCTATAAATTGGGAATTGTAAAAAAAGGAACTTAGGTGCCTATTTAGATTTATTTTTCGTTGATAGGTAAAATAAAAATCGGTCTACATTTCTCAAACGGAGGCAGGCCCTCGGGAACTCTAAATTAAAAGGTACTTTCATAACAATTTGGGATGATTTCCCTCGGAATCAGCTTTCATTCATTTACGTTGGGTTTTAAAACTGGTCCCAATTTCGCGGCTGCTTTGATTTTCTTAAGTTGTATTAATCGGATCAAATTAACTATGGAGTAATCTTCTTTTGGATATTACTAAACGTGGTTTTACTAATTAATCGAGGCATCGATTACTTTAATCAAGATTATGTTGCTATTGATTATTGGAAACTCGTTTCATTTTCATTCAGTTGTTTTAATTGGAATGAGACAAGTTTTTTTTTAATCTATTCAAAGGCTGCTCTATTAGAATATACCTATATAATTATTTAAAGGGTTTGACTGACGATGTTTGGAATACATATTTATTAATTAAATATTGAAGTTTCTAGCAATATTTATAATAATTCCTCCTCATTTCTACACATACTTATCAAAATATAGCTTTGTTTGATACCCAATATCTTAGCGGAATACTATAATTACTATGTCGTTTATCAAAATGAAAACTAATGAACTATTTTCCTTTGTTCCAGGTACATTGTCGCGTTTATTAGAGCCGGCGGCATCTCGAGTAGGTTATGACGATCGATCGACAGCGTCCCCCGGGTATGATCGCGTGTTCTTGATTGAATTGTTTCTACATTACATTGCCTCTATTTGGATAGGTATTGTTATATTAGTTATTAATTTAGTAAAGGGTTTCCTGCGCTTTAGGCCGGAGCTGTGACCTCCGGATACTCGTATTGTTGGAACTAGCGTATTTCGAATAACAATTGAAGAATACTACTATACTACATATATGATCTCCGAGACTCTGATTCCCAAAAGGCAGGCAACTTACTCATAACTTCTCTAGTGTTGCAATGCTTACCATCAGGTAATTAATCCGGTTGCTTTTGACATAGAAAAACTGCTTTGATAGTATTCCTTTTAAAAACGAGGCAAACGATTTGATTTTAATTTATTAATTATTCTTTTGCCAATTATTCTGTAAAATGATTTACGTTCGCTATGAAATTCATGAAGATTATGAATGAGGGGTTCTGCTGACCTACATCATAAATATCAGTGTAATATGCTGATGGCGTTCCTCCCGTCCGATTGTCTTTGATCTCAAAGATACAACCATGTGCCATCGCTCTTATCACCTCACCTCTTAAGAGTAGTATTTTTTAAAACGCGCTTTTTTACTTATATTTTGTTTTTATCTTTAATGGAGTTTTGATTTTCGAAATAAAGTGAATTTAGATAAAATAGATTTTCCGCAAATTAAATTCAATTTTTTAGTTAAAATCTTCTGATTTTAGTAATCATTTCAAAATGTCGCCAATACAGGAAACTTAATATTCAGATCTTTCATAACATGAAACCTTTATCATTATTGAAAATGAAACATTATTTTACCTATAACCAAATCGATTTCTATAAATCGTCAGTATCCGAGTAACAGCCAAAGATACAAGCGTAAACTTGTTTATCCGTCTGTCTGTCCGTTCTAAGATTATCTGGACCGACTTCAAACTCCGTCGAAGTGGAAGCCTGTGTAAAAAGGGTTACCTGTCCGATTCGCTTGTAGGGATTCCAAACTTTGACACCAGTTGAATGGGGTAACGCTTGTGATTGCGGTATTAAGTGCAGGCTTATGTCGAGGACTTAGTGCCAAATGGTTTTATCGGTGGAAGAATTACCAACATATTTTATGTTGATACTTATTACGATATAAGCTACTTTATTACAACTCATTGCGCCTTTCAAAGTTATGTGAGCAAAACGCAAGACTACGTTTGTAACAACAGAAAACTGTCAGGCGCTATAAAATCAATTAGCGAGATTTTTTGGATTTTGTCTTTTGACTTTTAAATACACCGTGTATAAGCGAATTTTAATAAAATCTCGCAAACAAGTGATTAGTAAGACAAATTAGTTAATACTTACTAGGGGTTAACCAATCGAGTTAGATTGGAGTTTAAACGCATCAGTTGATAGTGGGAGCCATTTGCCAGCCATCAGTCGCATTTAACTGAAACTTTAACGTGAATCTAAGCGGAAACCAAAGATGTAACGAAGGAACTAGATATTTCCTATTTATTATTCTGCACCAAGTTTGTATATGAACTAGGTAGTATAATTTATTGTGTTTTTTCAATGCTTCTAGCAAGATTTTGTTGCACTCCTATTGTTCAAATTCCCAAAGGACGGTATTTTGCTGTTACGGGTGTTCATGGGTGACGCCGACTGTTTACCATCAGGTAATCCGTCAGCTTGATTGCCGACCACACCCATCAAAATCAAAATAGCTTTTGCCTGCAAGTCCATTCGCGTGGAATAGTGATTTCCTGCAGATTTTTGGTATAACAAATATTCTATGTCCTGTCTTGAGTTCCAAACTATGTCTGTACCAAATTTTACAGAAATCGGTTCAGTAGTTTAGGCGTGAAGAAAATACAGACAGACAGAGTTACTTTCGCATTTATAATATTAGTATAGATTAACAAGTAGCTTTGAACAGAATACTTTCAAAATACAATAGAATTACCTAGAACTAATAAGCTAAAATACAACCTCTAACCACGTTCGACGTTGTCGTATCTAGTAGACAAAGTATCTGTGACATTAATTAGGTAGCGACTGTTAATAAATCGTAAAGTTCTTAACTGGTCGGATTGTGGCACGGATCTTAAATTTATGTCTACTTTATACCACTTAACTGGGAACTATTCTCACCAGACATAATTAATTTTTAACTAGTGCTAAGGAATTTAATATCTTCTTTGTGTTTTGTATAGAAAAATGTTCTAGAAACCTTACCTCTAAATCAAGGGTCTGGGTATTATGGTGTTTACCTAAAATTGTATGTTTGTGAACGTACGTGTATCGACCCAGGAGAAAAAGAATGACTACGTAAAGGCGGTTAAAAAATAAAATGACTTTTTGAGCACTAATTTTGAGCGCTCTTGCACAGGTTGAGGTGAGAAAGGGTGTCAGACTCTTACTGAGTAAACCGTTACAGTTCCTTTACTAGCCCCAGGCCGAAGCCATAGTACTTTATTAAAATAAAATGATGATGAATGACTACAATTTTTAAACAGTAGTAAGTAGTTTGTTGTTTGAAACTACAAACCATAATCACATTGATAATAATTTAACAATAACTAAATCATGTTATAACCACGTCATAAAACTTCGTCACCCTCAAAAAGAGGATATCAATCGTCAATTGTTTATTATTTCAACCCCCTGACCGATATTTCACCCCCACAATGATATTTCACGCCCTCCCCACTCCCGTCAAAGTGAGCTGTTCGTTGCCGGCTATATTATAGCCTTGTACAGACATAGCCTGCATTATTGAGCACCTCTCTATTGATATTATGATGGTCTTGGCCGCTGCACCTATTTCTATGTTAAAATGCAATTTTATGGTAGATGGTTTCTTTGTGATCAATAATGAATTGCTTTTTGGTTGGATAGTATATTGTGGTCGAGAGCTGTGAGGTAAATTCTTTTATTTTATGAGTTTAAAGTTTCAATTATTACTCGATACTCAGCTATTATGATGTCTTTTGAGGTAAAGATATCAACAAAATTCACTTATTCAATACAATAATCAGACAATCACCACATATTTATTAAAAACACTCTAAAATTACATTTTTAAATATTAGTATAAAATAAAATAAAATAATATTTAAAAATATAAAAGTAGGAGCCAGTGAGTAGCGGAAGCAAGGTCCAAGACAATCGCCAAAAAGTCATCGCTTCATGGTGGATATCCAGTTTTATTATCAGAACCGCTAAGAAGCGGAATTATTTGCGAGAGTCTGTGTTTGCTAAAAGTTATAAGGCAGACAGTCTTCAAAGCCAGAGTGAATAGGTTACTAAGGATAGGCGTGGTTATCATATGTAGGTCGCATCATCGCTTACGACCAGGTGTGATAGTGGCCAAATGCCTGGCCATAACTAAATAACAAAAAAATACTTTGTCGCTCTGTCTCGTTCCGAAAAATCTAGTCGACACTGAAAATAAAATTTTCAGCAATCAACCTAATCTTACACATGCTTAAGATTCATAATCGAATACCACATAAAACCTCTATACTAAATTAAAGTGCGTACCAATCTAAATTGTAAGTTATTTTTGGAGAAATTTTCTTCCAAATAATGTCCCAAGGCGGATGAGGGGGGGGGGTTGGAACAGAATTCTATTAATGTCATGCCTCCCCGAAGGACCGGATTTCTTCATTTCCTAAACGCCTCTTGGGGTAGAAAACACCCCACTTCGATATTTACCGCGGGTACTACAGACTCCAAAGATAAAATTGTTCATAAAAAACTGGCTTTGGATCCGGCTGAAAATTGTCACTCAAGTAAGCTGATTGGCTTGTGGCATTACCGTTCTTAAATTAATTTGTTAGGGACTCCCAATTAGGTTCGTGGGTTTTTGAAAAAGGGTATTTTAAATAAAACTCAATCGAAGTCAAATAATATTTTTATATCATATTAAGGCCAACGATGTTGTAGGCAATATAGTTCGATTAAACGCACTTCCAATAGAAATAACTATACGTTATAATTGTTTTTCTCTTATCAAAAAATTAACCAACATAAATCATCCTTCGACAAAAAGGTGAGAATTGCATAACCCTGCAAATTGACTCAGTAAACACATTAATCACCCATTTTTATAACTAAGTCAACTTCACCAACTCGAAAGAGTCCCAAACTCGTAAAATATTTAAATATTCTTTAAAAATTCACCCCAACCCAACCCTTCAGCGCTAGCAGTAATAAGTCTCCGAGATTCAGGAAATTGCTACAACCAGATAAAGGAGTGAGTCGGGTAAAAATCAAGCCGAGACTGGTTTGTTCCGGTGGAAACTGGCCCGAACCGGTTCGATTTATTCAAGACGTTGCAATGGAAATGTGGAAACGCTGGTTTGTCTTTCTCGTAGAGGAACATTAAGCAAATAATGTATTAGAATTCTTTTCTATGGAGATCAAGACTGTTTATTTCTCTATAAAATTCTATTAGAATGGCTACTTATACGAATGGCGAACATTTTCATACTTCTCCGAGTGCTGTAAAAATATTTTTATTATTCTTACAAATCCTTGGTGGAATGTTAAAAAAGTAGAGTAGAACAAATAAACAAGGCGGGCTATGATCTTAATACACTTCGCTTGTTCCTTCCACTTCCATGGCTGGCCTTGTTTTACTTGATATTCTAGTGAACAACATGAATAAATTATATTTATTTGTTTTGTTTACAGAAGCTTCTTGTAAGGATTTAGTCACTGGTTTTTATGTGGCTTAATTGAAACATTAGCATAGTAAATCTGGACGCTATTTTTTGTGTAGAAATGCTTTAGGTTATTTTCGCGTTTCCTGATTAATTATAAGACCCCATCCATTTTAGTTCATTAAGAACTAAGGCATTTCCCCAAAATGGCAATGTTTCGCTACATAAACACTACTTAAGCCAATTAAACTTGGAGAATACACAAAGATAAAATGCAAGGCAATTAAAAAGTGACTCTCAAAACAAATCCCTTACAGAAGAAATACATAACGCTTATATAACAAAGGGGCAAGCAGGGTAATTGCTACTGGAACGTCGCCAAGACATACAGACAGACGGGAAGACTGTCTTATTAAACAATTTATGTTAGGCTTCCCATACTACCGTAATGGGTAGTTACTGGCTGGCTATGCAATAATTAGTCTTAGAACGAAACTTTGCCAATTTATTTTTATTTTTAGTCACGTGACTATCTGGGGTTGAAATGACTTCAACCACCAGTTTTCATAAAGTCACGAGGTAATGTTTTTATGTCACTGGCTGCGAATTAAGAATAGTTTATTGAACAAGAAACTGGTGGCTACACTATTGATCCTGACCCGAAAATTCCCTCGCAATAGATGGCATTGCCTCATTATAATATGTATTATAACCTGATATTGATCATGATATCACAAAGTACCGCTAAAAACCAAAAAGCTATGTTTACCCCAGTATAATATCCAGTAAATTCATTTGATTAAGCCTTGTATTCTTACGATGTAATAAAAATTGAGCTGTGTAGCTAATAACAATAAAATTGTAAAACAAAAAGTTGTTCTAACTTTTAACACATACATGTATATAAAAAGTTTACTGTTGCTTCGTAAAGAGTACCACCAAAATACTTGAGGTTCATTTAGACAATCCGTCTATATCTGTTTGTTCCTCCCATTATCCTCACAAGATCCCCACAATAAGAAATTAATCCCCCGTGAGGGATTACACCCTCGAATTTATTTTCTTATAAAGTGAGATTACGGACTAATGAAGTGGAACGGGGTGGATGCGGTATTTATTAAAATTAATCCAAGGATTTAGGTCTAATGATGGATGTTTTTTATTTCTTGCGTCTGTTGTAATTGCTGCAATACTTTTAATATATCTTTTACAGACGAATACACAATTGCTATCTACCTTGAAGATATTTTTATTTATATTATATAGTTATTTTCTAAATGCCTCCTCCATAATTTGCAGAGCACACTTGTTTCTAACATCATGTTATTCCGTTCTCCTTAATTTCAACGATTTCTTACTAATTGCTGATTTCCTAATTAATCACAAGAGAGTTATTTGATTAATAGGCCTCCGATGCCAGCGCTACAAGGGGGGGGGGGGTGAATAAAAGTATAGGAGGGGGGAGCTCGTGATTTAGCGATTTCACTCAAAAGACGCCACTTCAGTTTAGATTTTCAGCGACTAATTAATAAGTATGAAAGTGTCAAGTTTGAATGAACGAAGACTTGCTTTATTTTTTACTAAATATATTTTTCAATAAGTTTACGCGGTTCTAAATTTTTTTGCAACTACTAAAAGTAGGTTTAAAACAGTTATCCGTAATAGTTTTATCTTACGCTACATTACATTCATATTTCTTGCAAACGTTTTAAAATATTCAGCGCGTGTTCGTTCCCATTGACACATCTCTCCACGTGACGAGGAACTCCGAATGATTACTTTGGAAATGTAACGAACGAAAATGAATTTCGTTCACCTCCTCGCTTTTGAATAAGCCCATCCTGTACTCCAATTATGTTAAAAGCTAATTACGTTTAAGTACTCAGTAATTATTGAACCGAAATCGGAGTATCTTGAGTAAAGAAGGCTAACATTAGCGAGACAAAAAGAGTGAAGTGAACTTTCCAATGAGATCAGGGAAAACGAGACTCCCGATAGACCCGAACATTCGAGATCAAACGGACAAACCGTCAAAGTGAGTGCCAAATAACATTTTGTACAAAGATCACGAGTGATATCCAAATGGAAATGGAAAAAGCGAGCTGATACTGGGACGTACGGGGAGTGGAAACTGCAAAGGAGTCTAAAAGGCCTAAGGCCACAGGCCAACGCCGGGACATGGCCTGGCCGCCCCCGCAGTGGCCTTGCGGGGGCGAAGAAGAATGGCCTTACGGACGTGTGGGAGAAATTTGTTACCAAAGGTGTTTGTTGGGGATGTGGAGGTGACTGGGGCTATACCGGGGGGCTGAAGGTGGACATTGACAGTTCGGAGTATACGGGTTATAGGTACTGTTACAATAGGCCGGGGTACCGGCAGAGGGCGCGCTCCTGTGAGGACGCCCGGTTCATACATATCAACTTCGTGCTGCTTGCCGAGGTCACACATTTTGAAAAGGTGAGTTTTTCATTTCTGTTTGTCAAAGTCAAAGTCAAAATTTATTTCAATTAACTAAACAGTTTGACCGATAGTGAAGGGACCACCTTCAACCTTCATTCTTGGTTTTTAAATGCAGATACCTATGGAGAAAAAAGTGTAGAAAACCATGGATTCTCTCAAAAATAAACTAAAAAAGTATTCACTGACCACGATCTAACTAAAGGAACCAAAGATAAAAAAATACTATCATAGATCTTAACATTCATATTAAAACCATGTCTACAACAATAATTTTAAATTTCATAAAACCATTTCCCACCAATGCGGTATCTATGCTAAAGTATGGTACAACCAAATTAAACCCCAATTAGTGATCTAACCGACACCACAAGGTAAGCACATCATCAAAATTACAATAACACAATCAAACATTAATCGTGATCACTCTTTGCGGCACACCACTTAAACAGGTGAGTAAGTTTAAATATCTTGGTCACTGGGTCACCGACGACTCGTCGGATGTTATGGACATCGAGAGGGAACGAAGGGCGCTGTCTGTGCGGTGTAATATGCTCGCTCGTAGGTTCGCACGTTGTACAAGAGACGTAAAAATTACTTTATTCAAGTCATACTGCCAGACACTGTACACGTGCGGGCTATGGGTGAATTATACGCATCGCGCGTACAGCGCCCTTCGCGTCCAGTATAACAACGCCTTCAGGGGAATGGTTAGGCTGCCGCGGTGGTGCAGCGCATCTGCCATGTTCGCGGAAGCGCGCACACAGGATTTTTTCGCTGTGATGCGCACGCGCTGCGCCTCATTGCTGAGTCGAATGCGGATCAGCTCTAACGTTCTCCTGAAGACCTTGTCTGAACGGTGGGACACACCAATGCTGCAGGCGTGGATGGGGTTGCACTCTCTTTGCAACAGGAGATGAGTGGCTCCCCTTTCATGCCGATTACTTTAGTTTAGTTTAATTTTCTTTTCTTTTGTTACGTACTAACATTATTTTTTAAGAATGTAAAGTTAATACTAACAAAATGGAACCTGATTTCCGAAATAAACGATTATTATTATTATTTTTTCTATTTGTATTTTTACCTCCGGCTAGCCGGGATATCTGATGGCACGGGCCTAAGCCAAGTGTTCATCAGTGGAGTGATATTGTATTTTCTGACTCACACTGTAAGAATTTCCTTACAAGCCTACAGGTATTAAGAATAACTGCCTTTTGCAACAGGTAATAAGTCTTCGTTGGCAGGTTCAGAGAGGTGAGGGACTGATAAAGTTGTTTGGGTATGATTCCTGTGGAAGATATGACTATTGGGATAATAAATACTTTTTGTAGGCGCCAGAGTCGGGTTATCTCGTCTTTTAGTTCTGTATATTTGGATAGTTTTTCAGCTATTGTAGTTTGTACGTTGTGAGTGTTTGGGACAGCTATATCTATCAGAAATCCAGTTTTATTTCTTTTGTTAATTAAAGTGATGTCTGGTCTGTTATAGTGAATGGTGCGGTCGGTGAAGATTGCTCGGTCATAATACAGTTTGGTTGTGTCGTTCTCTAAAACAGTTTCGGGGTTATATTTATAATATGGAACAACTGTTTTGACGAGTTTGTATTGGTGAGCTAGTTTCTGGTGAATTATATTAGCAACCTGGTCGTGTCTGTGTTTGTAATCTGTCTGGGCTAGTGATTTGCAGGCACCAGTTATATGTTGGATGGTTTCTGGAGAACTATTGCATTTTCTACAAGTGTCGTTTTATTATTATATTAATTCCATCCCTTAAATATTCACTTATGATTCACCCTAATTCCGTTACCTCAATCCAAATTACACCTTAAGACTAAAGGTGTAACGTTTAGATTGGGGAGTGTGAGTTGCGATGTTAACTAGGTTGAAAGTGGTACAGGGTTCTGTGGAGCTCCGAGAGGAATTGGATGTATTAATATCATCTTATGACATCTATGCTCGATTTGCCTCGCAACCACGCCTGAACATCTCTGTTGGCCTCTTGGACTCCGTCTGTGGTGGTCTCTGGGAGGCTAGGGGCCATTTCATTTTCACTATTATTTAATTTGATACCAATCCGTAAAGTGCTTATCAACATCAAAGCAAAATTGAGCATTTATCACCAGGGTTGCTCTGATGGATGTGTGGATATAAGTCCTTTCTTTCTTCTTTTTTCACTATCTGAAATGTCACTTTGGTATTCGTCAGGTTTCGAAGCCATCGTTGTATGCTTAAGGCAAATAAATATTCGGATTCCAAAATATGTAGGTATATTTTTATAAAATTATGTAATGCCGTTTTGTATGCGCTCAAGATAGGGCCTTAAGATGTGTGTTCACTCTGCAAGAGTTCTGAAATATTGCATATTTACCACATTATTTTATTTTGAGTTCAAACAATAGTGTTGGTTGTTTTATCAGCTGATTTTAAGTTTTGGATAGCCAATTCCACCAATCCGGCACGAATGGGTCGGCTCGACCGTAGTAATACCTCAAGCTACACAGAAAACCGGCCGGAAATAAAGCTTACTGCGTTGTTTTGAATCGCCGTGTGAATGAGGTTAACGAAGGCCCAATCCTCGCCCCTCCCCCTCCTACGATCCGTCAAAACACTTACAACTCATTTGGTGTCCATGGATGGCGCCAATTGCTTACCATCAGGGTTTTCTCTCCATTTATTCGCCGGCTTATCTCATAAAAACCGTACCCCATATAAATTATAAACCGTCTGATTAATTGTTAATTCAGTTCACATGGAATATCTCGCTGTTCTACTAGTAATTCGAATTACTTGGTACCTCTGGACTCCGATAACACGTCGCCCCTCCCTTATCACTAAATTTACATACTTTCTGTTATCAAAACGTTGAGAAACGGGTCTGAAGTGACAAAACGTAATTTATTTCCAAGTTCTAAGAGATTTTTGTACTAGAACTTAACAATGAAGATTCATAAAACTAGTAATTTTACACTAAAAAGTATGTTTAACTACATACATAGAAATATAAAATTGTTGTACTGTACTGTAAGTGTAATACAAATTGTTTTCCGGGTCTGGGTGTCATGTGTATGTGAAATTGTATGTTTGTAACCGCAACCACAATACAGGAGATAATCCTAGTGTTGGGCAACGTTTAAAAAATACTAAAGTAACTGGTTGACGAAGAACTCGAATAGTTTCAAGCCACGCTGGGGGCTCATATTCATAAGAAGCGTTGCACGATACACGACGCTGTAATATTCGCACAGCCAACATGGCCAATGTATCTGTTTTTAAATATACATAAATAAATTTTTTTGTTACATAGATCGGCAAACCAATATACAAATCACTTGATGGTAAGCAATCGGGACATTGATGGGCTTCCACAACACTGCAGTATATATCTGCATTATATTCATTTCACTAGTTCCCAGCTTAGCAAGGGCTGGTATCTCCCAAAGCTCCGGCTAGAAGTAGGAAAAGGATCAAGGTGGTTCTTAGTCGTCAGTAAGAGAAGTTTGACATTCTCTCTAGCTTCATCCAGAGCGGGTGAAGGCAGTTGATGAAATTCTCCTCTGAAAGAAAAAATTGCTTTATTGTTTTTAACGTTTTAGATTTTGTCATTCTTTTCTGTCGTGAATCATTTGTTTAAAAAATGGGTAAATTTTAATTTAAGATAAATAAAATTAAGGTTTCAATTTGAGAACTAGATAGAATTAAGCTGAGGTTCACACACCGCAACCTAAGCAGTAAGGGATATACGGCTGTTAATCTAGTAAACGCAGCCGACGAGCCGGCGGCACTCGCCACTTGATTGAGATAACGCGATTAGTCGCCACGGCTTGTGCTGCGACTAATTAGTTGCGTGGTGTCGTGTCGTGTGAACACACCAGAGCTGGAAGAGTCTCTTTATGATGGCAGATGTTTTTATATGTATGATTTAATAAATATACTTTAAAGAAATTATGTTTTGTTGTTTGAGATCAACTTGTAAGGAGTCAAACAAAGGGTATATTAGACTTCCATCTAAGGAGAGTCTGGAAGAGTCAGAGAAAGTTTCTCGTCAAAAAGTCAAAAGTCAAAAATAATTTATTCCAATTAGACCTTTACAGGTACTTTTGAACGTCAAACAAAATTTTGAAGATATAGTGTCAGTCTGTCGGTCAGTCCTCTTAGTGAAGCTATATATAACTTGGTTATTTATTATAGATATTATATATAGGCCTTTAACCACTAAAATTGACCTTAAAAGCGTTAAAAATGCAGTCAATTAGCAGGTTAGATAAAAAAATCATGAAATAAATGATGAAACTGTCTTTTGTTTAGTTTTATAAAGTATTTACGATTAGTTACTTAAGATATTAAGATAAGATAAGATAGAAGAGATAAGATAAGATAAGATAGAAGTATTTAAGATAAGTATTAAAATATTCCAATTACGATTATAGGTAGGTACTAAACGTTTTAACCTAAAACCTTTTTATTGAATTCCTTTCAAATTTTTCCGCCAGCAGCTTCGCCCGCGTGCTGTGTTGATAAAAAGCAGCCTATACTAATAGAACAAAATCGAAGTATACATGAAATGTGTTATTAATCGTCTCATTTTTTATGGGTACATATCCAATGGGTAAATACCCTATTACTTAATAGGGTAAGTAATTAATAATTATAAAAAATAACAAAATGTCACAAGATGAGTAGACTTTAATTTTAATAATAGATAGTTACAATGTTATTAACATATATATTTAATTGATATGAAATTACATTCTTCTTTTCTCGTAGTACCTACGTAATAGTTCACCACATCATAATGAAAATAGCTTTTAAACTATGACATTTTAGACCTTCATAATCCTAATTTTAGCTCACCTTCTTTTATGTAAAATACCTTAATTTCACCTACCCTTTCACTCCATTAATCACGCCAGAAACCCTATTTAATATTCTCGGTAGATGGCGCCTCGCAGTTATGACGTCACAACATATAAGTATATTATGTACTCAGAGTAATATGCCTTG